ATTATGGTGTTCATTTCCATTTCCACTTCCACCTATACTCATAGTAGAAAAATTATAATTAATCATATCTACTCCACGCCTAACAGCACCCATATCATGTGGAGTGATCCAATTTTGAGAACATTCACGTTGATGATCTTGACTTGATTTTGAGCGTCGTTCATATTGAAGCATTGGTTAAGAGGCATGATTTTCATCTTGTGTAGCATGTGTAAATTCTTCTTCTATAGTGAATACAACTCCATGTGGACTTTGGCTCCCCGTACCTCCATCGTCACCATGTCCAAGGCTATCATCACCTCCGCTCCACTACTATCACCACTAGCTTCATCATATCATTTTCATCACTATCATCATTACTATTATCACTATTATGATCATCCTCGGTACTACTAGTGAGAGTGATAGCTTACTTACGTTTTGGTGGGCTTCTCATTAGTCTGTCAAACTTTTTATCATCCATTGCTTTACTTGATCCATCTCTACTTAGTTTGGATCTTGATTTTTCGTGGTGGCACGACACCCAAACTTTGACCTACTCCATTGTCATCACAAAAACGATTTGCCCATGTTGTCAGGAAAGTATTTGGTCTTGTTGGTTGCTCATTATCATCAAGTTCATCTAAAAGTACATCATCAGAATCATCTAACCGCTGTAATATATCTTTATGTTCCTTAAAAATAATGGTTAAGTCTATAGGTCTGAATTTGTAACCTTTTACTATGTAAACATTAGCCTTTCTAACTTTTGATAATTGAGTCGATTTCGCACTTTAGTATGAATGAGATCAAATGTGTTTTAGTTTCTCTCACAACCACTAGATGATGCAGTTTGCGACAATATTCTCATAGCATTTTTTCGTAATTTAGGAGCATCAGTGTTATACATAAACCACTATTTAGTTACATAATAATAAGAAACATATTAAAACCTTAAAGAAAAATATAAATTGAAAACTATGAGAACAAAATATTATGTTTAAATAATCTACTTAATTATCTGAATTATTTTTTGTTTTTTCCCTAATTGCAGTTTGGTAAGCAAAATAATACATGGCCTCCCGAAATATTTTTACCTAAAAATCATAAATATGTTGATATTATATATTAATTTAGCACATTCATAAAATGAGATTGAAAGGTTAAAGTATTACCTCAGCAAGTGCTTCAGCTGTCTTGTTTGGATTTGTCTCTAATCTAGACACAATGATCTGAAGTAAACCTAATAAACTTTCTAACACACTAACATCTTCTTCATAATGGTATGTGGGGTTCAAGTAATAAGCCACACAATATAAATAATGATAATACTTATAAATGATAACATTCAAAATGATAACACTTATAAATAATAAAAATATAAAATGTTAAACAATAAGTTTATCTGGCATTTGAATATGTTGAATGATTTATTTTTTCCATCGAGCATTAATGATGTCAAGATATTTCTTACACGATTTAGAAGCCGTGTCTTTGACAGATTGTCTTGCTCTTTTCATTACTTTATATGCATATGACATTGTAGTTTTTATTTCATCTGCCATTCTTAGAACTCTTGCAATAGATGTATGCATATTCAACCCATTTTTGGTATTCTCCCAAAACTTAGGATTTAGAATTGTCCCTTGTACTCTCTTTCCAACTAGATCTTTTGCAACCACAGTTTTAGACCAATCTTTTGAAGTAAACATTATTTGCAAGTCATTTCTTTGTTCTGAAATACTTTGTAGGTCAATATAATTAGTAGTAAATCTTGTTTGCCTAGGTTGAATCAATTCTCCCAAGCAAAATGTTCTTATTATATCTAAGACTATTATGATTATATATAAAATTGGTCACTCTTTTAGCTTGCTCAAGCACATTTTGAACCGTTTTAATCTTTAAAAAATCATGCAAAATCAAATATAGAGAGTGGGCTGCACAAGGAGTCCAATATAAGTGTAGTCTTCTTTTCATCAATATTTCACCAACTTTTTTGTCCGCATTACCATTGTCTATAGTAATTTGAACTACATATTTCTCTTCAATCTCCTCAACAACAACATCCATCAACTTCAAAATATAGTTAGCATCCTTGTCATGGCCAAAACTATCAATTGACTTGTGGAAGATAATTTTTCTATCACAATATATCAAGAAGTTAATGATAGATAATCTTATGGTAGATGTCCATCAATCATACATGATTGTCACTTTTTTTTAAACTAGTCAATCTTTTCTTTAAGCTCATCTATCTTATCATCTAGTAATGACCCGCCAATCTCATATGAGGTTGGCCCTTGCACACCCATTCCACCTAAAACAATTTCATCAATCATTACTTGGTAAAAATGACCTTGAGTTTTGCTTGATGGAATATTCTCATAAATGAAATATTTTACAATAGTATGTTTTGCCAATTTTGCCCACTTTTTGGGATTCCACATATGAGTTAGCTTAGCTTGCTTCACTTTCCTCTTTTGATACATTGAAGGATCCATCTCTTCTATGTAAGATCTTTTTCTTTGTCCATTAATTTTTGTGATTTTCTGGAAAATTTATCTCAATATTCCTTCATACAATGTGAACGCATTAGACCCCTAGATGTACCACCTTTTTGGATAGATGGTTTAGAATGTTCTCCTCTAAAACCCTGCTCAGCCATATATATGTCACAAATAGATTGTTGTTTTGCATATTAAATATCAGCTCTATATTCTATATCCATATCATTATCTGAAGTTTTATAGGAAGAATAAATTTTGATACCACTTCTCCGTCTTGATCCACCAATTAAATTTTGTCTTATTTTTCTCTGTTCATCAGTTACTTCTACACTTTCAGTCTCTGTTCATCGCTGAGCAAGACCATTTTGTTCCGAGGGACGCACACAACTAGTTTGATGAAGAATGTCACCCTAATTGAGGTAAGAGTGAAATTTACCATCAATGTACTCAAATAAAGATCCATCGGCCACCTTGATTTTATTTCTACCTAAACATGTAGAGTATGAGAACAGACTAGAAGAACTAGTCATATGATTTGTGACTCCAAAATCTATTATTCAATGAGCATATGAGGATGGTGCAGTAAACACACTAGATATACCTATATGAGCAAAATTGAAGGAAGAGGCACGATTAGGAGCTAGGGTAGAGGAAGCATCAAGTCGAGTCATCAGGCGCCTGAGAGTCTGCATTTCATCCCCAAAAAAAGTAGGAGTGATTCCACTAGACTAAGATGGAGTCTTTGAGGATTTAGTCGTATGTGCATGAGATCGTACATTACCACCTCAACCACTACCTTGTCCACGTGTAGGATGTCTAGTTAACTTCCAACAAAACTCCCATGTATGTCTTGTCTTCCCACAATAATCACACTTTAAGGTATTCGTAGATACAATGCTACTTATCTCCGTGGACTTAAGCAAGGCTGAACTCATGTCATACGAACGGATAACAACCAATGCAGACTGTTCCTGAGTAGGAGCATAAACCATAGCAATTCTTTGACTCTCCTCCTACTGAACTTGGGCATAGGCTTCTTGTAAAGTAGGAAATGGACTACGATCCAAAATCTAAACTCCAGTCTTATCATATTCAATATTCAGACTAGTAAGGAAGTCATACACTCAATTCATTTTTCACCATTTGCTGAAATTTAATAGTATCATTAGCACAATCAGTTGTGAAACTATGGTAATAGTCAAGATCCTACCATAAGGTAGTCAACTCTGCATAATAAACCGGAAGGGTTTTATGTTTCTGATTATTCTCTCGCACTTTCTTTCAAAGATCATAAGGCTTACCATCATTTACCCATCTGAGAATAAGTATGACTTACAACAGTCCATATCTTATGTGCTGTATCAAGCAATAGAAATCCACGACTGATAGAGAGTTGCATTGAATTAAGTAACTACGACATAACGAAGGCATTCTTAGATGTCTACTGTTTGAGTGGGGACCAAACTCACTAGGCTTTTCAGTCTCTCCGGACAAATACCCATTCAAAGAAATAGCTTGAATCGATGACAAACGAGCCCGTGACCATGCCAAATAATTGTGTCCTTCCAACTTCGCTAGACTAATTTGAAGAGATGGGTTGTTTGCAAGAGCACCCAAATGGCTCAGCCCACTCCCCTAGTGCTACCTATAGTACTGTAGGAGTTACACTCCTTTCGACATGTTCACACAATAAGAATAACACAAATTAGCAGCCAATCACAGGAAATCACAAGCCACAAAGAAGACCACAACCAGAATACCCTCAAACGACACTCAATTCTGAAAGTCAGAGGACACAAGCACACCCAAGCACACAAGTGTCCGAGATGCCACACAAAGTTGAAACAGTAGGCCAGATTGATAGCCGACAGTGAAGAATGGCAAAACACCTCTCAAATCCACTCCAAACATAACCAAACAACAAACCTGGGCAACAAAGAAAAATTTAAAAGGAAAACTATTTGAACCAAATCCAACCCTTGAGTTGCTCAGAAATCGCAGACCAAGCCTTGAACCCCAAATAATTTGAAAAACATTTGAAAAATCAAATGACCTGTCAACAGCTTCAGAAAAATCTGCTAAAATAATTATAAATCTCATGAGGCTGAGTTGAGTCAACCTTGGATTTTTATGGTTTTTTCTGATAAATGTCAGCATGTCAGACTCTTACAATCAGTGCTGTTGAACGCAAAAAAAGTTTCCAATGTATTTCGACATCTTTAAACCTTTAAATTTTGATCGAAGCTCTGATACCAAATTAGATTATGGAGAATTAGAGTTATGAGAAAGAGAAAAGAAGTGTAGAAGAAAGAGAGACAAGATTATGAAAAGAGTAGTATGTAAAGGGTTACACTGCTACATTCCAATAAATATATAGTCACAGAAGTACCAAAAACACCCTTAATAGTTACATCGTAATATAACATAACATAACAATATATTTGGTGTCTACATAGAGATTCAAAATTTATTTTAGGAACTTGTGACAAGCACTAGTAATAGATTCGGCTGCAAATGACCCCAGCTGTTTATGATTGGTTTGGCTCAGTATGGTATGGTCATGTTGATGTTCATTTATTTAACACATGAACGAGCCCAAGCTTTAATTTGAACCCAATTTGGAAAAGGTCCTAAAACAAACAAGACCATGGTCTGCTTATTTAGGCTCATGAACAAGGGTTCATAATGGCTTAACCAATGCTCCACTTTCATGCCATTCTCTTAGCTTAAAAGTAATTAAAATTGGAATATACAACTACACAACAAATTTGTTGATTTTGACGTTGGCTTTCTTTTCAAAATTATAAATCTTAGTTGGGAACAATTGGAGCATGGAAAGACTCACAATAAGCCGCGTTCCAATTGCTAACTGAGTCGAGATGGGCTTATGAAATTGGTGAGCAGCTATGAGTGCAGCCTGAACAGGCTTGCTCTAGGTCGGTAAAAATATGAGCCGAGTCCATACACTTCCAAAACTATGTTAAACTAAATTGTGCCAAGCCCAAACAGCCTTTTTGTTCATGCATTATGTTTTTTTATCCCCTCATAGTCAATGAAGTTTGATGATGCACTAAAACATGCTTTAATTTGGTCTGTCAGATCAATACCAAATGTGTACTATTATTATGGTATTGCTGTTTAATATGGCAATTGGCTATTTTGGGCCTGAAACTGGTTTTTCCACACTTCAAGAAAAAATTCAAGTCTTATATTGTGTTCCTTTTAACAAAAGATGAGTTGAGAAAGAAATCATTTAAAAACATGTTCATTGTTTGGATATAATACACTTCCCCACCCTCCCACAAAATATATCCCCAGATAGTGCTTCATTACTTAGATAATAATGTTCTCATGAGGTGGGTTTTTTTCCTGATCCTTTCTCTTTATTGGTAAAGTAACATTTGCCAACAACAAAATTTTTTCCATTGCACTTTATGGATGATATTAGTAATTGCTTCTAGGACACAGCACTTTGGCACTTGGTCTTTGTTGGGATCAAGTTTTGCAGCTCTTTGGGTTATGTTATGGTGGAAGCATGTAAAACCTGACTGGATGCTATTTTTGTTGGTTCAGGAAGATGGTGTCAATCTGTTGACTGTAATTAAAGGTACAGGCAAGTACCGCCGTTCAAGGAGGCATGACTTTGTCATGAATTTTCTTCCTCCTAGTATGTCAGAGTTCAGAGGAGCACTCGAAAGAAATGGGTAACTCAGTAGAAAATGCAGTATTTTTTACTAGAAAATTGTGATAAAACGCATCCAAGGATGCATCGTGATTCAGCCGATCCTATTCCTTGTTTGCTTTTCACACTCAACATCATGTTTTGGAAGGAGGCTTCTGTTGAACATTCCTGCTTGAATGTGGTTACCCTAAATAAATGTTTTCTTAGGGATTTGTCATTGTACCAGGTTCTTCGTATATTCCAGTTTGTCCGAGTGTAATTCAATGGAAAACACATGATATGATTAACAGAAACAAAGTTCTTCTGCATAGTTTTGAAAAAAATAATTATGAGGAGAAAATATGAACTAAAGAAAGAGAACACATGATTCTTTCTTTTTTTCTTTTCTTTTTCTCTTTTCGGTTTTCCTCTTTTTTGTCATCATTTTAGTCTGGCTCATTGGCTGTGATCTTTTCTGCGCAAATAGTTTCTGTTCTTTTCTTCTCTAATTCTTGTAGGCTTCATCTATGTTTTTGAGATCTTCACCAGACTCTTTCATCCCCCCAGCCCCCCCCAAAACGAAAGACCAAAGGATAGATATACATATTTAACTGGACTTCCTAGTTAATAATTTAGAAGGTGTTTGCCCTTATATCAGGTTGTGTATACAGTCTTTCTCTAACCCACTTATTTTCAGGTTTTCAAAATGCATACAAAATATCTTGTTTTGAAACATTAAGTTTCTACTCCACAAAACTAAGGATTTTCTCTTTGGAAGAAACATCCAAAACTATTTGAACTTATCAAGATTCAAAGTTTCAGAATGTTTCAAAATCAAATTTTCAATTTTTTTTCTTTGTTTCCATTCTGTTACGCAACAACCAATTCTAAGTTATTGCATTTGAAACAAAATTTTGATCTTTGCTCCAAAAAACCAAGAATCTAGTGGAACATAACACAGTACATAAAATAGCTTATTTTGCTTAAGATTTAATAATCTATATTTTTTAGTAATAGTGAAAAGCCTCGACTGCTGGTTCTTCCTAATGGTTCAACTTCTGATAAAGAATTCTAAAGGTTAAGTCTTTATTAAGTATACTGTATACCCTCGTAGCACCTTACCCACGAGGGACTGACATGAGATGCTGGCCTTTGTATACGTAATGCTTGATTTTAACTGAAATTAAATAGTTCTTTGTAATAGATCTTAAAATAGAATGATTCAATCTATGGACACTTCAGTTGACCCATATGGATTACTGTCGACTATCCTAAGTTGGAAGGCTAGTGGATTCTGCCCATCAAGTTCACCTTCCCCGCGTGAGTCAGTAATGCGATGGGTCATATCCTTGCTGAAACAAGCAACTTAGTTGCTGTCAACTTAATTTTGATTATAGTGGCAAATGATTACAAGTAAAAATTAATGAAATGCAGGTGGCTCCGTTTTGCTACTAGTCCAGTAATGTTCTCAACTTTAGAAGATGGAAGATTAGTAAGGGGTCTTGCTGGCGTTCCGGATGAGGGTCCCGTTTTATTAGTTGGTTATCACATGCTGCTAGGATGTGAAGTTGTTCCCCTTGTTGAAGAATTCTTGAGGGAGAAGAATGTTCTAGTTCGTGGTGTAGCCCATCCGACCTTGTTTACTCAGATGGCTGAAACTCAATCTCAGGAGTTTTCCTTTTTTGATTTGTTGAAAGTATTTGGTGCAGTGCCTGTCACAGCAAGCAACCTTTTCAAATTGTTTTCAACAAAGTCCCATGTACTGTTATATCCTGGTGGTGTACGTGAGGCTTTCCATCAAAAGGTGTGCAAGATGTCCCGTTGTTTCTGCTTAAGTAGTTCTCTTCTGGAATTGAAAAACTCTACATGTTACTTTTGGTTACCTTTTGTCTTAAATTCTGAAAAAGTAATTCATAAACTTTCTTGGAGGCCTTGGTTACTAATATGCCAATCTACAAGTGATCCAAAAAGATAGCAAAATTTTCAATAATGAACCTAATGAGGACAAATATTGCCCGCACAAGAAAAAAATTAGGATTTTGTATGAGATCGGGTATGTCTAATGGTCTAGAATGTTCAGCAACTATGAAACATGCTTGGAAATTAGACTTGGCTGAAATGCCAATATAAAAATAGATGTGTGGTGCAATCAAAGCGAAAAAGGATAGAAAGATAGATGAGTATATTGGTAGAGCAGTAGTAGTACTAATAGGAGATAAGTTGGGAAATCAACTTAGATGGTTTGATTATCTTCACACAAAACTTATTAGTGCACCAGTGTGGAAGAGTGACATGACAATAGTACGAAGGCTAGAGGCAGACCATAATTTTTATTGAATAAGATAATAAATAAAGATATAATTGCTTTGGTATACACAAAATAAGGCTTAATAGACTACAATTTTAAAATATGATTCATGTAGGCAATGCCAAATAGTTGGAACGAGATATTTTCTTCAAATGAAACACAAAGTTTATATAGGAATTTTGTTCTTCTACACTGACCTTGCTGTTAGAAATTAATAAAAATCATGCTAACAAAAGCATGGAGGATTTGCTAATCTAAAACTTGGATGTGTCAGTAATACTATTGGGTTTCTTTTACTAAGCACATCGGATGGTACAAAGAGACATGGTCTCAAGATTATCTATATTGGTTTTCTTGATAGATGTACTTTATATGTATAAAAATCTGGGCCTCGATAATGATGGTGCTTTTGTGGTTCCCAGGGTGAACAATATAAGTTGTTTTGGCCTGATCAACCAGAATTCGTGAGAATGGCTGCAAGATTTGGGGCCACAATTGTTCCATTTGGAGCTATTGGAGAAGATGATGTAACAGAAGTAAGTAAGGATGTTCTTATGTTTCCCTGGCTTCTTTTTTATGTTTTCTCTTTTATTCACTTTATTTCCATGTTTGAATCTCTTTTTCTATTTAATTTTTGTATAGTTCATGGTTTCCTTTGGTGATCTCTTAAAAGGTTTTGTTCGTGACTGTTTTCTTATTTTTTTTCTTTCATATATGTAAATGTGTGTGTGTGTAGATATATATTACTGCCAAGTATTTGGTGATTCCTTTAATATTGCAGAGAAAACGAAAAAGAAAGTGTGAATCACTTCTCTCACACAAACCTACATATGGGAAACAGATAAGTATCAGCATCCAATAATCTCAAAATAGTAGTTTCGTTGCACATAGACATGTCAATGACCCAGTATCAGAATATTTTGCTGAGGATGACAGTAGGGCAAGCAGATAGTGGCAGTCATAAGGGAGACTGAGGGTGGAAACCACTGTGGAGGCGTAGTGACAGGAATGATTATTGAAGGGGTTCTCACATTTTCATGTAGTATTGGTTTGTGGTACAAGGGTTGTAGGTTAGTGGTAGTGGGTGTGGCAGTTGTGTTAGCGTGGCAGTGGTAGAAATGATGACTCTGGTGTGCTGCTTGTTGCTGGAGGGGATGTGGCAGCTGTGATGTCGGTTTAGTGGTGTTAAGGACACTTGCAAAGGCAGTAATTGTTTTATGGTGTCGGCTGTGGGGGAATAGTGCAACCACATCAAAGATCCAGCTTGACACGAAAAATCCAACATCTTGGGATAGGGTTACAAAAAACTTCCAACAAAGGACTATATTTATGTTTATTACAGTAACAGTAAAACTGCATAAATGGCTCATTAGTCTAACATTTATGCCAGTAGCATGTAATCTGAAGCTTAATAAATCATAACTACAAATAATTTGGTCATGTTGCACAGACAAAGACCATCGAGCATCTGATATTTAAAATGATTAAGATTTATTATTGTAAGAGATGTTTTATAGCCATGAGGGGTATTTATGTACTTGCAGTCTTATTATTATAAATACATGGGGTTAATGGAGATAACCCTAATTTGATTATTAGGCTTTCTCTCAACAACCACTACATTCATACAAATTCTCTCTCTCTGTACTTTTTCTCCTTCTCTCTTCATATCTTAACATGGTATCAGAACTCAATCTGCTGTGGTTGAACCAATTCTTTGATATTTGGGGTGCTTTCCTTGTTCGTGAACATAGTAGCCAATATTAAGCCTTTCGGAGCCTATAGTAAGCCTTTAGGTGGCAGCAAGGTGAATGGGTTGAGTTATGTTGGCACTCTTAGACATAGCCCATCCCTTTAGATTAATCCGGTTAAGTTGGATGACACTGTTGAGAGTATTATTACTATGTATTTAGTTTAATATAGCTGTAATAAGAATACCACGTAGAGGATATACTCGTCATTTGTATTTTTACGAGATAACTATAAATACAATTCATTGGTGAGAGGTAGGTTAAGTTCGACCACTCTCTGTTTTTCTAATATTGTGTTAACTCTCTAAACTTAACATGGTATTTAGAGTCATTAGGTCCAAATTCAATTTGCCATTAATCACCGTTGTTTACTTCCTTTTCTTTTATCTTTTTCTTTCTTCTCTTCCCCTTTGTTCCATTTTTGTGAGGGCTTTGTCTTGGTTCCGTGTATCCCATAATTGGTGGGTGATGGTTTTGCACTGAACTCGTGCACCCAATAAACTGTTGGTGGTGTTGAAGATATTGGGTCTCTACTGGGTTGTTTTTGGCTTAAGAGGACCCTGGTTGGTGGTGGTCGTCAGAGTGCATCGTTGTTCTCCCCGTCGTCACTTGTTTTTGTTGATGACATATGTTGACATTGGTTTGTGACGTGTTTTGTGTTCTGTGATCGTGTTGGTCGTTGCGTTGGGGTCTCCGAAGGTCAATGGGGAGCCGAGTGTTGCTATCGAAGCTTGGGTGTGGCTGTTAGCAATTTGGTTTGAGGCACCGTTGAAGCTAGGGTTTCATTAAAACCCTCGTAGTGGAGAAGACAACTCCCAGTTTCGGGTCGGATCAGATAGTCCACAGTTATGGGCTTAAATAATTTCCCAAACCTAGCAAGCCTCATTCTGCCTCAGTGGGCTTAAATAATTTCCTAGCCCAACAAGCCTATTTCAGCCCAACAAGCCTAGTTCAAAGCCAATTCGTTCAGGCTTCTAGTTCATTGTTGTTGGGCCCAGGGTTACCTGGATCGCGGGTCGATTGGGTACGTGGTACGGGTACAGGTGCGGGGTATGTTACTTTTTGCGGTACGTGGTGCGGTGGGAGTAGGCTTAGTTGGTACGCTATTTTGGGTCGTGATTCGCTTTGAACTATTATTCGGATCGTTTTCATTATTACAAAGAATTATATAAATATATACATTATAAAATGAAAATCAAGACCAACAACAACACATCAACTAATAATCATGTATAAAAAAGTAATGATTGCATATTTTATTATCAATAAAAGACAACATATAAATTTAAAAACTTAAAATTTAAAAAATAATGTACTAGAGAGTGATTAAATAGCTACCTACTTGAAGCACAAATCAAAATAACATTCTTAAACATCTAACAAGTCTCAAATAAAAATTACTTAATCATAAGAAAAAATTAGAGCACATGAGTTAATTGTCAACTCTTTTCCCTTTATCTTCGGCAGTGTTCCCTCCTCTTGCATAGTTACTAATTTGAGTCTGATGCAGTTCGGAATGACGAAACAATGGCCTGCTAGAACTAGTAGGTGGCTTGTCAATAGAGACGGACATAGACGCATGTAAGGATGAAGCTTCACGATCTTCGTCTCTAGTAATGGTAGAACTATTTGTATTGTCATCCTCCAAAGATTTCCATCGCAATTCCTCCAATCTCACACTAGAATCATCTTTATATGTGTGCTCTAGATTTATATCTTATTTCTTAAAAGGACCATCTTTGTAACTTTCACCGAAACGTGATTAGAGACGAATATTTGAATGGATGAAAACCAATTTGTCAGTCCTGGTAGAATTCAATTTGTTTCTCTTGACATTGTGAATAAATGAATACGTGCTCTAATTTCTTTCAACTGAAGAACTTGTAATTGGTTGCGATAACACCTTTTATGAAAAAAATAATAAGACATTAATAATGATAATTAACAATAAGAATAAATAACTTGTAATTTAAATTAGTACCTTTTTTGCCACTTCTGCTAATTCTGGAGTTTCTGAACCATATGTCGACCACCAATCAATAGCATCCATGGTCACAACATCTGTTTGAGCCGCCGCCATAGCATAAAGACTCTTTCGCAAGTGAAAATATGCATACTGTTCTCTCAATTATTTTGCTTCTTCTACATCTTCTGCTATCTTTTCAAAAATTTCCATAACACCTATGATGACCTCTCTATCTTGATTTGGAGTTTTTCTAATTGTACCTCCTGGTGCTAGCTTAGTAAGATATTGGGTATTATAAAACCGTGGTGTTAGTGCAAACCCAAGACAATGCAAAGGAATATTCATCTTCTCCCATCTGTCAAGCACAATTTTTTCAATTTGAGAAAATTTATCACCGTGTTTTTCACTCCTCATAATATCTTTTATTTCACCAAGCATGTTATCCATCTTCTCATAAATCTCACCCATTTTTTGACCTTCTCCATCACAAAATTTAATAAGAAAAATATAGGCTTTGTGATACTTATGATATTCTCCGCATCCTCCCAAAATTCTTCACTAATAACAGTTTCTGTAACCAAAGCACCTAACTTTCTTGTGTGTTCATCCCCAGATTTCACCAATTCTTTCCATGACTTGAGAACAATGGTAGTTGCAAGGACTCTCTACAGTCAACAAGTCGCTTCAACAAAATATAATGCGATGCAAACTTGGTCTTAGCCACTTTTAATAGCTCCAATTTAGATTGAGCTCTAAACATAGCCAAAGCATGTGTATGGTTCAAGAAATATTTAACAATAGACTTTCCCCTTCTATAAGTATTTCTAAACCACTCAAATTCTTTTGCAAAGTCTTTAAAAATTAGATTCCGAGTATGAACAACACAAGGAGACCAAAATATATGTTTGTGTACCTTTTGCACCTCTTTCTCCGCAAGTTTGCAATTTGCTGCGTTATCGGTCACTACTTGAATGACATTTAGTGGACGTACTTCTTCAATGACTTTCAACAAAAAATCAGCAATTGCTTTACCTGTTTTCTCTATCCCTGAAAAATCCTCAGCATATAAAAACATAGCTTTACGACTATTTGCAGCAATGATATTAATAAGGTGATGATGTTTCACATTAGTCTACCCATCTGATATAATGGATACCCCATTAGAATACCATGTATCTTTAATAGGAATTAAATCTTTTTCAACACTTCTTTTGCACTCATCCAATAATGTAGTTCTTGCTTTTTCATAGCTGGGTGCCTTGTAACCTTTAGGTCCTCTATGTATAGCTGAAATAATCTCATTGAATTGAGGATTTCTCAACACATTGAATGGAATTCTTTTAGCACATAATCCCCTCATGACCTTCAAGTCAACCATGTCTCGATCCATTATTTTGAATGCATCTTCAATTGATCCTGTTGTCGGTGAAGGTTGCCGCTTCATCAATGTAGAATTTTTCAGGGATGAAGAAACTCCTATTTTTTCTGTCTTTTGTACTCTTTCTTACAATTTTGCATATTCAGTCAAATTATTCATCAAAGCTTGACACCGTTTAATTTCTGCTTTTTTTCCAGGTGAGGCACCAAAAAAGTGGTAATGCATTCGAGTATAGGAACTTGTAAATTTACCACCGCAATGCTTACATGACCAAGTCTTTGATGCCCCTGGATTTTTTCCTTGAGCTGCACCAATAAGATTAACCTCATTGAGTAGTGGTTTCAATTTTGCATCAACTTGTAATTGATCTTCTTGTGTGCGATTTTTTTGTGGTTGCCTAGTGTTAACTTCTTCCGTTACTTCAATGTGTTAACTTCTTCCGTTACTTCAATGTGTTCAACTTCTTGTTCATCAGCGGAATCATCTAAATTCTGAATATTAATTTCGAATTGTTCTTCAACCTGAGAAGAATCTTGTTCTTCCCTCCTTCTTTTACCAAAAATCATTTTTTTTAAACAACAAAAATTCAATTCAGTAGAATGAATAAGGAGTAAACAGAAAGATAGAGAAAAAGAAAGAGAGGCGGTAGAGAATTGGGTAAAAATCTGGAAAAAAAAAAAATATATATATATATATATATATATATATATATGGTTGTCATGCTAGGTATAAAAACTAGGAGTCTTTCAATAAGTGCCTAATTGGTAGGTAATAGTATTTTTACTTTTTTATCCAAAATATGTGATACATTGTCTTGTAAAATAAAAGGCTATTTATGTCTTTTTATCAAAAAACAAATTAATGTTTTACATGTTATCAGAGACTCAGTCTCGGTCATTTGATTTAAGTAGGTTTTAATTTTTTTTTTCGTCAGACTATCGGTCGTCTAGACTTTGGACAAAAAAGAGAGAGCGAGAAAGAAAACGAGAGATAGAGAGAAAGAAAACGAGAGACAGAGAACGAAACCCATCGAAGCAGAGAGAGAGAGATCCATCGAAGGAGATCGAAGCAGAATGAAA